GACTTCGAGATCGACCACTACCAGCCCATCCTCTACGTCCTCGAGTCCTTCGAACAACTCCGCGACGCGATGAACTCCTACGCCGAGCGCATCCTCAACGAACCCGCCGCGGTGTAAGCATCGTGTAGCAACCGCGCCCGTCAGGAAGCGGACCACGCCCCCAACAACCAACCCAGCCCCAAGCGCACAAAAAAAGCACGCCCCAAAGGGCGTGCTTTTCAGTTTCATTCACGCAGCCGAACGAGTCACTCGCCCTCAGCGGGCGCAGCCTCGTCCTCGTACACCGGGAACTCCATGTTCGCTTCCTTGAGCAGCCCGTTGATCATCTCGACCTTGTCCTTGAACGGCGTCACCTGAGAGCTCGGGTGGATCTTGTTGAACCGCGTCTTGCCCTCCGTGTCGATGATCGCCACGTGCGGGATGCCGGTCACGCCGTAGTCCGGGTTGAAGACCTCCTGCTCGCTGAACGCGACCGTCCAGGTCATCCCCTTGCCCTCCATGAACGAGGGCATCAGGCCGTACTCCTTGTCCGGGTTGTCCGCCGTCTCGATCCGCTCGCGATCAGGCGTCATGTGGAAGCCCTGCAGGCTCGTCACGCCGATGATCTCCACCGGGTACCCCTCGTAGAACTTCTGCAGCTTCGCGACATCGGGGAAGCTCGCGATGCACGGGCCGCACCACGTCGCCCAGAAGTCGACGACCACGACCTTCCCCTTCAGGTCGCTCAGCTTCGTGAGCTTCGCGTCGCTCGACCACCCGAACGTCAGCTCGGGCGCCGGGTAGCCGATCAGCTCGCCGCGACCGAACGCGCTCTCCATCAGGCCCAGCTGACGCTCGACCATCTGCGCGATCCGCGGGTCGGAAGCCGTGTCACGCACGTGCTCGGACCACGCGATCACGTTGTTCCGGATGACCTTCACCTCCTCCTCGCTCGCCACGCCGCGGACCACGTTGACCAGCTCGCCCGCCATCGGCGCCGAGCCCTCGTACCAGTCCGTCTTGATGCTCTTGCCGAACGCGACCAGCTCGTCCTCCACGGCCGAGAGGTCCACGCCGTTGAAGGCGCGCATCACACCGAAGAGCTGCTGCGAAGCCTCGGTCTTCATCGCCTCGCCGATCGCCGGGTGACGCAGCGCCACGCCCAGAGACTCGACGAGCTCGTCCGCGTCGTTGCTCGCGACCGCGGTCAGACCCATCACCATCAGCGCCGCGCGGGCGCCGTCCACGTCGGGCTGCGCCACGAACGCTTCCGCCCGCGCCGCGACCGCCTCGCCGACCTCCGCCGGGGCGTAGTTCAGAACCCCGCCCGCGCTCAGCATCTCGAGCTGCTCGAAGGTCAGCTCGGAGATGTCGATGCCCGCCACCGCGTTCTTCGCGAGCTCGCTCGCGCCGGCGCGGTCCAGCGTCCGGGCCTGGATGCCCGCCTGGAACTGCTCGTTGTACGTCTCGATCGCCTGCTCGATCGTCTCGTCCGCGACCGGCTCCGCGATCGCCGCGCCGGACAGCGCGATGGACACCGCAACGGCGCTCAAAGTGGCCAGAGTTCTCATAAAAAATTCCTTCCGTCTTCAGAGTGGACGTCGGTGGGCCGCTCGCCCGAGCGGCGCGGAACGACACACGGCGCGTCCGCGTTGTCTGGTTATGGTACGGGCCCGTCGGCGAGCAGATGCTCCGAAAAAAAGTCCTTCTGGATGTTTTTCGCCTCGTTCGACACCTTGCCGAACCCCATGTGCTCGTGCGGAGCCCCCGTCTCGGGCCACGTCACAAGTCGCACGTGCCCCTCGTCAACGCCCGCCGAACGGTATTTGTTCCGCAACGCCTCGACAAACGAACGCATCCCCTCCACCGGGATCCACGCGTCGATCTCCGAGTGCAACGCCAGGAAAGGGACGCACCGCCACCCTTCCAGACGCTCGATCGGGTTCAAACGCTTCGCGATTCCTTCCACATAAAACGGACGGTCACGCATCCGCTCAAAGTCACCGATCGTCGCCTCCACCGCGACGCACGAAAACGCGTGCTCGCGGCAGCACCGCACGAGCGTCACCACGCCCCCCGCGCTCATCCCACCGATCCCCACCCGATCGAAGTCGAAGACATCCCCGTACCGCGCGCGCAGATCGTCGAGGACATGGTCCACCTCCACGCTCGCCTGCTCCGCCGTCTCGAGCGTGTGCTCGGACACCTGGTACGACCGCTCGAACCGCTCGCCGTGCCCCGGAAGGTCGATCGCGCACACCCCGATCCCATTCCGCACCCACCGCAGGTACCGCCCCGGGTCCAGCTCCTTGCTCACCGTCCGCCCGTGCATCCAGAGAACGAACGGAGCCTCCTTCACACCCCCGCACTGCCACCCCTCCTCCGGGTGCGCCACCAGCGCCGGCACCGCCTCCTCGTACGGATTCGTCTCTTCCGCAAGGCGCACGAACTCCGTCCGAGCCTTCAGCGCCTGCGGAAGCTGTGCAAACCGATCGATCATGCAAGACCCCGTGGCACGGGCTTCCAGCCCGTGGACAAACCGCTCAATTCAACAAAGAAACCGGTGGGACAGGCGTCCCGCCTGTCAACAAACAATCCCATCACGCACGCACAAAAGGATTGCTCACCTTCTCGATCCCGACCTTCGTCTTCGGCCCGTGCCCCGGGTGCACGAGCGTCTCATCGTCAAGCGTGTAGATCTCTCCGCGGATCGAGGCGTACAGCGTCTGCTCGTCGCTCGTCGGGAAATCGCTCCGGCCGATCGAACCGCTGAACAGCGTGTCGCCCACGATCGCCAGGTTCGCCGAGCGCTCCACGAACGTCACGCTCCCCGGCGAGTGCCCCGGCGTGTGCAGCACGTCCCAGGAAGAGTCCCCGAGTTCGAGCGTCATCCCCGCCGTCAGCTCGCGCTCCGGCTCCTCGCACGTGAACGGCATCCCCATCGCCCCGCTCAGGTTGAGCTTCGGGTCGCCGAACCACTCGAACTCGCTCGCGTGCCCCCACACCTCGACGCCGGGGAACGCCCGCCGGATCTCCGTGAGCCCCGCGATGTGATCGATGTGCGCGTGCGTCAGCAGGATCTTCTCGGGCGTCAGCCCGCCCGCGCGGACCGCCTCGATCAGCGCCCCCGGCGCGAACCCCGCGTCAACGATCCAGCACGACGGCCCGCCGCACGAAACCACGTAACAATTCGTCGCATAGGGCCCCAGCTCGAATCCCTGGAGCCGCACATTCGAGGTCCGCTCAGTCATCCGGTGCATGGTAGAATGTTGTGTCGCGGGACGCCCGCTGCGTCCGCGCCGAACACAGGAACGCACGATGCTCATCCGAAACCTCGAGACCGTCGACCGCACGCCCGTCCAGATGGACGGCGCGAGCGGCATCCGCATGGCCGTCATGGTCGGACGCGAAGACGGCGCACCGAACTTCTCCCTCCGCTCATTCAACGTCGACGCCGGCGGCCACTCACCGCGCCACAGCCACGACTACGAGCACGAGGTCGTCATCATGGAAGGCGGCGGCGAGGTCCTCCTCGACGGCGAGTACCGGCCCATCAAAAAAGGGGACGTCATCTACGTCCCGGCCGATGAAGAACATCAGTTCCGCGCCGGGAACGACGGGCTCAGCTTCCTCTGCCTCGTCCCCGTCTCCCGAAACTGCGGCGACCCCACACCCGGAAGCTGATCACAGAAGACGATTCGAACCACACAACCGAGGAAACCGGGCACCCCATGGCCGACCATCAGACACGAGTCAACACCGCGAAACTCCCCTGGCGCGTCATCGGAACGCTCATCTACTTCCTCGTCCTCCTCTCCGCCGCCGCCTACTTCGCCATCACCCTCGAAGCGCAGGCCGACCGCGCCGTCGCGATCATCTGCCTCGCCGTCCTCCTCGCCGCGCTCCCCGTGAGCCTCTTCCTCGCCATCCCCGCAGCCTCGGGCGGCGACACGAGCGACTTCCGAGCCCTCTCCAAGGCCATCAACACCATGGTCCAGGAGGCCGGCCTCTCCGAGGGCGCCAAGCGCATCATCCACCGGCGCGAAGAACGCGAGATCCTCCGCCGAGCCATCGAGCAGGACCTCACCGACAAGGACTGGGACGCCGCGATGGTCCTCGTCAAAGAGCTCGCCGAGCAGTTCGGCTACCGCGTCGACGCCGAGGAGTTCCGCCAGCGCATCGAACGCGCCCGACTCCAGACCCTCGACGCCGACGCCGCCGGCGCCCTCTCCGTCCTCGACGACTACATCCGCAACCGCAAGTGGGCCGAGGCCTACGCCGAGGCCGCCCGCATCCAGCGCCTCTACCCCGAATCCCACCGCGCCGTCGGCCTCCGCGAACGCGTCGACCGCGAGTTCGCCCTCTACCGCAAGGAACTCGAGCGACGATTCCTCATCGCCGCCCAGCGCGAGCAGGTCGACGACGCCATGAAGCTCCTCAAGGAGCTCGACCAGTACCTCGCCCCCCACGAGGCCGAGCCCCTCCAGGAAGTCGCCCGCGGCGTCATCTCCAAGTCACGCGAGAACCTCGGCGTCCGCTTCAAGCTCCACCTCCAGGACCACGAGTGGAAACAGGCCATCGAAGTGGGGGAGCAGATCATGGCCGACTTCCCCAACACGCGCATGGCCGAGGAAGTCCGAGGACTGCTCCCAAGCCTCAAGCAGCGCGTCAGCTAACGCAATTGCAAGCTATGCCGTGGCACGGGCTTCCAGCCTGTGGTCATTCGCCGTCCGCTCCCCCAGCATTCCCTTCCGGGGCCGGGGGGTGGCGCCAGAGCTTCACCATCAGCACCGCGATCCCCACGATCAAAAACGCGTCAGCCACGTTGCTCACGTAGGGCCACACCTCGCGAGCCGACCCCGGAAACGTCACGCCCGGCAGCGGGTGGATGAAATCCCGCACGCACCCGTAGACGAGCCGGTCGTACAGGTTCCCGAGCCCGCCCGCGACGACAAGCCCGATCGCGCCGTGCGCGAGCCAGTCCTTCCGCGACGTCCGCGTCGCGAAGAGCCACACCGCGAACGCCAGCGCGAGCGCCGTGAACCCGATGAACAAGCCGCGCATCCCCTGCCCCGCCCCGAAGATCGCCCCCGAGTTGAGCACGAGCCGGAACTCGAGCACGCTCGGGATCACCACCCGCTCCGCCCGCGCGTGCACCCCGAGCAGGCGCATCAGCTCGTCCGGCGGCGTCTCGAGAACCTCCGCCCGGTCGATCACCACCGGCGCGTGACTCAGGTTCGCGAACGCCCACGACTTGCTCGCCAGATCCGCGAACAGCGCCGCGACAACCACCACAAGGAGAACCGCCCACGCCCGCCCGCTCCGCCACGCCGGGTGCACGGGCACATCGCGCGCGCTCGGGGACTCCCCGTTGGGCGCCGCCCGATCAGTCACGACCGTAGTTGCCGTTCAGTTCTAGGGACCGGGCCGCGTCGATGCTGTACCGCGCCCACGGCGTGTGACGCAGACGCTCGATCTTGATCTGCTTGCCCAGCATCTCGCACACCCCGTACGTCCCGTTCTCGATCCGCGCCAGCGCGTCGTCGATTTCCTTGAGCAGCTTCCGCTGCGACGCCGCGAGGTCCAGGTTCAGCGACTGGTCGAACGTGTCGCTCCCCTGGTCCGCCATGTGCTGCGGCAGGTGGCTCAGAGACCCGCTCCCGCCACCGGTCAGCGCTTCCATCTCCATGGAGGAGACATCACCCACGATCAGCGCTCGCTTCGCCTGCAGGATCTCCCGGAACTCGTCGAGCTGCTTCTTGTTGAACGGGCTCTTCGTCAGCTTCTTGTACCGCGAGGTCTTCGCTTCCTGAGCCGTCGAGGACGACACCGGCGCCAGCCCCGCCGCGGCCGCCAGACGCGCCGCCGCGTCCTTGCTCGCCTTCAGCGCCTTCGCGTCCCCGCCGCCGAACCGCCGACGCGGCGCCTTGGACGCCCCGGACGACCTGGACTTCGCCGAGCCGCTCTTCTTCGACGCGGACGACTTCTTCGTGGTGGCCTTCTTCGAAGCCGTTTTCTTGGTGGTCGCCTTCTTCGTCGTGGCCTTCTTGGAAGCGGCGGACTTCTTGGTGGTCGCCTTCTTCGCGGGCGCCTTCTTGGTCGTGGCCTTCTTCGACGTCGGCTTCTTCGCCGGCGCCTTCTTGCGCACGGTCTTCTTCGTCGTGGTGGCCTTCTTGGACGACGACTTCTTCGTCACTTTCTTCCGTGACGGAGCCTTCTTCGTGGTCTTCTTCTTGGTCGACGAACGCGCGCCCGACGTCTTCTTGGCCACCGAAACGCTCCTCTTCAAAGCGTTGGCCCGCGTCCAGACCGGCGCGCCTCGGATTCAGCCCCTCGCGCACGCCACAAGCCGCTGGGCCCAAAGGCGATACAGACCCGCAAAGCTAACGTCCACGCCGTTATCCGTCAAACAGACGCGCCCCCGTCCGGGCCGCTTTCCACAGCCTCGGCCGGCGCCTCCGTGTACGTCCCCAGACCCCGGAATCGCTTGTACCGACGTGACGGGAGGTTCGACCGCTTCAGCCGCTTCATCGGCGTCAGCGTCTCCACGATCCACTTCTTCACCGCCTCCGCCGTCGCCTTCGGGTCACGGTGCGCCCCGCCCACGGGCTCCTTCACCACGTCGTCGATGATCCCGAGACGCAGGTTGTCGCTCGCCGTCAGGCACAACGCCCGCGCCGCCTCCGTGTTCGTCTGCTCGTTCGCTTCCTTCCACAGGATCGCCGCGCATCCCTCGGGCGAGATCACCGAGTACCACGCGTGCTCCAGCATCGCCACCCGGTCCGCCACCGCGATCCCCAGCGCGCCACCCGAGCCGCCTTCGCCGATGACAAGCGAGATAATCGGCGTCTCGATCCGCGCCATCTCCCGCAGGTTCACCGCGATCGCCTCCGCCTGACCCCGCTGCTCCGCACCCAGACCGGGGTACGCACCAGGAGTATCCACGAACGTCACGATCGGAAGCCCGAACTTCTCCGCCAGCTTCATCTTCAGCAGCGCCTTGCGGTACCCCTCCGGGTGCGCGCACCCGAAGTGGCTCGCCAGCTTCTCGTTCGTGTCACGCCCCTTGTGGTGCCCCACCAGCAGGCACTTGATCGAATCGATCCGCGCAAACCCCGTCACGATCGCCGGGTCGTCACCGAACCGCCGGTCCCCGTGCAGCTCCACGAAGTCCTTGCAGATCAGGCTCACGTAGTCCCGGAACTGCGGCCGCTCCGGATGGCGAGCCACCCGGACCGTGTCCCACGGACTCAGCGCCTTGTACGCCTTTTTCAGCGCCCTCGCGTGCTGCTTCCGCAACTCGTCGATCTCGCCCTTCGTCTCACCCGGGTCGTCCCCCGCGCGATCGACACCCGCGCCCAGAGCGCTGAGCTTCTTCTCGATCTCGACCACCGGTTTCTCAAAGGCAAGCGTGTAGGGGATCGCCATGCCGCTCTCCCGTGTATCGTCTGGAAAACACGAGAGTCTAGCCGAACCCAAACCCGCCTTCACGCGACACTCCACCATGACGAACCACCACACCTTCGCCGTCATCGGCGGCGGCAACATGGCCTCCGCCATCGTCAGCGGCTGCCTCAACGCCCCCGAACCGCCCATCCCCGCCGCCCACTGGATCGTCGTCACCCGCTCCCAGCAGCGCCGAGACCAGTGGGAGCCCCTGGGCGTCCAGACGCGAGCCTCCGTCGCCGAACTCGCGAAAGATCAGGACACCCTCACCGGCGTCCTCCTCGGCATCAAGCCGCAGATGCTCCCCGAGGTCGCCGCCGAGGCCCAGGCCGCCAACCTCGACCTCACGGGCCGCCTCCTCATCTCCATCCTCGCCGGCGCCCGCCAGAGCACCCTGGCGACCGCCCTCCCGGGCAAGGCCCGCCCGCTCCGCGCCATGCCCAACACCCCCCTGAGGGTGGGTCGAGGGATCACCGCCATCTGCCCGGGGCCCGATTCAACCCCCGAGGACACCGCCCTCGCCCGATCGATCTTCACCTCCGCAGGGGAGACCATCGACCTGACAGAGGACCTCTTCGACGCCTTCACCGCCCTCGCCGGCTCCGGCCCCGCCTACCTCTTCTACCTCGCCGAGGCCATGGAACGAGCCGCGATGGAAACCGGTATCTCGGGTGAAGACGCCCGATTCATCGTCCGCAAGACCCTCCACGGCGCCGCCGCCCTCCTCGACGACGCCAACGACAAGCCCGCCCTCCTCCGCGCCGCAGTCACCTCCCGCGCCGGAACCACCCACGCCGCCACCACCCACCTCGACGAGCACCACGTCATGGAGGCCATCGTCGCCGCCATCGTCAGAGGTCGCGACAGAGGACGCGAACTCGCAAAGAGCTGACATGTCCCGGATCATGCGAAATCGGGCACGACGCATCGCCAAAGAGCACACGGACGCGGATTCCACGAACGCACACCGAATCGTGGCCCACGCGACCCGGTAGAATTCAAGACTCCAAGACCTCGAAAACTCGTGAGGACACCAACCATGAAACGCTTCCGCCCGCTCGCCGCGTTCGTCATCGCGCTTTTGGCCACGCTCACCCTCAACACCGCCGCGCACGCCCAGATGATGGGCGGCCTCGGCCGCTCCGATCCCGTTTCCACCGCCGACATCCAGGACATGTCCGAGTTCCTGAGCTTCACCGACGACCAGCGCGCCACCGCCCTGGACATGCACACCGCTTACCTCTCCACCTTCGAGGAAAACCGCGACACCCTCTACCAGGCCATCAACGCCATCCAGGAGGAATTCCAGCAGACCCAGGACATGTCCATCTTCGAGGAGATGCAGAAGATGGTCGTCGAATTCGAGAAGACCTCCAAGGGCGCCGCCGACCGACTCTTCGAGGACATCCAGCTCATCCTCACCGAAGAGCAACTCGAGAACTGGCCAGCCTTCGAACTCCGATCGTTCCGCAAGCGCACGCTCCCCACAGTCTCCAACGGCGGCATGAACATCTCCGGCGCCACCACCGACCTCATCGACATCTACGAGCAGCACATCGAATCCGACGTCGAAGACGACGACGTCCGCGAATCCCTCCTGCCCCTCCTCGCCAGCTACGAGCGCGAGATGGACGCCGTCCTCCACGAATACGTCGAAGTCCGCAACGAGGTCACCGAGGACTCCCTCGAGATCGGCATGGACTGGATGGCGAACATGGACAAGATCGACGAGATCATCAAGACCTACATCGGCGCCGCCGTGAAAATCCGCGACATCAACGACCGCTACACCGGACGCATCGCCTCCATCCTCTCCGGCGACACCCGCAAGTCCTGGGAGAACGAATTCAACGTCTCCGCCTCCCCCAGCGTCTACACCGACAACTACATCGACCAGTCCTTCAACGCCGCCCGCGAGCTCACCTCCCTCACCGAGGAGCAGCGCGAGCGCGTCGAAGAGCTGCGACGCCGCTACCTCGCGAGCGAATCCTCCGTCAACGCCAAGTGGGCCGCCGCCCTCCGCGAATCCGAGGAAAACCTCAGCTTCTCCGCCATGATGCAGGGCCAGATGCAGTCCCCCGAAGTCGGCGAACTCCGCAAGGAGCGGGGCGACCTCGACGCCCGCACCTACGACGAGCTCGCCGCCGTCCTCACCGAGGAGCAGCGCGAGGCCCTCCCCGCCAAGCCCGCCGCCAACTGGCGCGACCGCTTCCAATTCAACACCGGCGGCTGAACCCGGCCAAACCCCGCCCAGCCCGCCGCCGATTCCGAAAAATCACGCTTTCCCCGCCTCCGGTGCAACATCCGGTCCCGAACGCAGTTCTGCCGTCAACCAGACTCGGACCAGCACCCTTCGAACACGGAGAGAGCCGCATGCTCACCAACGCCCGACGACTCGCCCGACTCGCCACCGCCGTCGCCATCGCCGCGCTCGCCACGCCCGCCGCAGCTCAGTTCGGCCCCGGAGGGGGCGGCTTCGGAGGCGACACCGAACGCACCGTCGACTCCAAACAGCTCGAGCGCATCGCCGAGATGCTCGACATGGACGAGACCCAGCTCATGGTCGCGAAGGACTTCCTCACCGGCTACATCTCCGAGCACTCAGCCATCGTCGAGGAACGCGAGATGCTCACCCAGTCCGCCCGCGAGGCGTTCCGCGAGAGCCGCGACCCCTCCATCTGGCGCTCCGTCGGCGACTCGATGGAAGAACTGGGCGAGCGGGCCGAGAAGCTCGAGCAGCAGTTCTTCGAGGACGTCAAGCTCCTCCTGAGCGAGGAACAGCTCCAAGGCTGGCCCTCCGTCGAGCGCGACCACCGCCGCACCTCCACCATCGAGCGGGGCCTGCTCTCCGGCGAGTCCGTCGACCTCATCGCCATCGTCGAACAGGTCGCCCCCGAGCACGACGCTCCCGAGATGAGCCAGATGCTCGAGTCCTACGCGTCGGACCTCGACCGCGCCCTCGTCAAGCGCAACGAGGCCTACACCGAGGGCATGAGCCGAGCACGCGAGCTCATGCAGTCACGCGACTTCGAGACCATGCAGGAACTCTTCGAGGAAGGCCGCGAGGCCGGCCTCCGCGTCCGCGACATCAACAAACGCTACGCCCGCCAGATCTCCGCCATCCTCCCCGAAGACCAGCGCAACGCCTTCGACCGCGAAGTCAACCGCGAGAGCTTCCCGCAGATCTACCGACGCTCCTACGCCGGACGCGTCTTCACATCTGTCGACGAATTCCAGGACCTCTCCGAAGACCAGCGCGCCCAGATCGATTCCATCCGCGACACCTACGAACGCCAGGCCGAGAACGTCAACACAAAGTGGGCCAAGGCCATCGAAGAGCAGGAAACGAGCCAGGACCTCATGTCCATGATGCGCGGCCGCTTCGGCCGGGGCGGGGGGATGCCCGACGAGATCCGCGAAGTCCGCGACCAGCGACGCGAACTCGACGCCAAGGTCGCCGAGCAGATCAAGGCCGTCCTCACCGACGAGCAGGCCGCCAAGCTCCCCGAAGAGCCGCGCTTCGACCGTCGCGGGAACGGCGACGACGACAACCAGCGAGGCCGCCGAGGCGGACGACGCGGCGGACAGACCAACGCCTGAACAGGAAAGGACTTCACGCATCGTGAGGCTGGAAACTCAACCGGTGATTGATGACAGGACGCGCCACGCAGCGCGTCAGGACGAGCAGGCCGCGCCCACGCCGCGCGGCCGCGCCGCGTCTGTCACCAAGGAGCACCGCCCATGAAACGCGCCCTCACCGCCCTCGCTCTCGTCTCAGCAATCGCCCTCTCCAGCGCCGCACAGGCCCAGATGAGCTTCACCGTGGAACGCGGCTCCCCGGCCCCCGCGGGGCTCCAGGGCCCAAGCCGCGACCTCGGCTCCTCCCCGGTCACCGAGCCCGAGTTCGAGACCTACCTCGACATCCTGCAACTCGACGACGCCACCGCGTCCGTCGCGAAGGACATGTACGAGGGCTTCCGAACCGAAGTCGCCGAACTCAACGCGAACTTCCGACAGGAAATGTCGGACCTCGTCGCCGAAATCCAGAAAACCGGCGACCACAGCGCGTTCATCGAGAAAATGGGACCGCTGCGCAAGGCCCGCAACAGCGGCCTCGAATCCCTCCGCGACACCTTCCTCGGAGACCTCAAGCTCCTGCTCTCCGAAGAGCAGATCGCCCGCTGGCCCCTGATCGACCAGAGCCGCAGGCGCACCCGGATCCAGTCCGACCTCAACGTGCACGGCGCCAACGTCGACCTCATCGCACTCACGAACAGCACGCTCGACAACGTGCCCGGCACCGTCTCAGAAAAACTCGACACCTACGCGCGCAACCTCGACCGCATGCTCCTGGACTACGTCGAAACGCGCGACAAGCAGCGTGAAGGCCTGCAGTTCCGCATGGACATCGACGAGGAGCAGCAGGAGAAGATGCGAGATCTCTCCGACAAGCTGCGCGAGATCTCCATCGACATCCGAAGCCTCAACGACCGCACGCTCCGTCTCGTGACCACCGAACTCAACGCCGAAGAGTCCGAGGAACTCACCAACGCGTTCAAGCTCGCGGCGTTCCCGCAGGTCTACACCCCGAGCTACACCGACAACGCCCTCGAGTCCGCGCTCCGCATGGGATCGCTCGACGATACCCAGCGCGATCAGATCCGATCACTCGCCGGTGCGCACTCCCGAACCGCCGGCAACCTCAACACCCGCTGGGAGCGCGCCGTACGCGAATCACAGGAAGAACCCGGGTCAGGAATGTTCTTCAGCGGTCCGGGAGGCGAGGCCATCGAGATCGTCGTCGAGATGGACATCGAAGGCGAAGAGCGTGAGCCCTCGGACGTCGAGAAGGCCATCGCCGCCCGCACCGAGCACGACGAGAAAACCCTCGCCCGACTCCGCGAACTCCTCAACGAGACCCAGCTCGCCGAGCTCCCCCCCGAGCCGAAGGAGTTCGACCCCTTCGACCCCGCCAACCTCCCCGAGGGCGCCAACGCCGTCTTCATCTCCACCATCGAGTCCGACGGCAGCGAGACCGTCACGGACGTCCAGGTCCTCACCCCCGCCGGCGACGTCTCCCGCCAGACCACCGAAGACGACTCGAAAAAGAAATAGGATGGCCAACCCCGCATGACCCAATCCCACCAGGACATCGAACACTCGCTCGACGCGTCAAGCGCCGGGCGCGCGAAAGAGCCCGGTGCCAACGGTCACGCGCAAGCCAACGGGACCACGCAGCCACTCGAGCAACCCCCCGAGACCGACCGCGAGGCCACACGCCTCATCTCGGCAGACGACGCCATGCGCCTCCGCGCCGTCCCCGTCCGCAAGGACAACGGACGCCTCCTCGTCGCCATGTTCGACACACGCGACGACCAGGCCGCCGACGAGCTCTCCGTCGTCTCCGGACTCCCCGTCTCGCGACTCGCCCTCACAGAGCAGGCCTTCAAGGACCTCCTCGAATCCACCTACGGCACCACCGCCGCCGACATCGCCAGCCGCCTCGCCAAGCCCGACGACGAAGGCGCCGACCTCGGCGCCAACCTCGAGGCCATCGACGCCGAAGCCCTCCACCGCATGGCGGAGCAGCCCACGCTCATCAACCTCGTCAACCTCATCATCCTCGAGGCCGTCCGCTCCAGAGCTTCCGACATCCACGTCGAACCCTTCGAAAAAGAACTCCGCGTCAAGTACCGCATCGACGGCGTGCTCATCGAGCAGTCCCCCCCGCCCAAGAACCTCCAGCCCGCCATCACCTCACGCATCAAGATCATGGCCGGCATGAACATCGCCGAGCGCTACGTCCCCCAGGACGGACACATCACGCTCCGCTTCGAGGGACGCAAGATCGACATCCGCGTCTCCACCGTGCCCACCATCTACGGCGAGTCCGTCGTGATGCGCGTGCTCGACAAAGAGTCCATCTCACTCGAGCTCTCCTCCCTCGGCATGCGCGAATCCCACCGCGCCACCATGCAGCGCCTCATCGACCTCCCCCACGGCATGGTCCTCGTCACCGGCCCGACGGGCTCCGGCAAAACCACAACCCTCTACGCCGCGCTCACCAAGCTCTACGACCCCGCCAAGAAGATCATCACCATCGAAGACCCCGTCGAGTACGAGCTCAACGGCGTCAACCAGATCCCCGTCAACCCCAAACGCGGCCTCCTCTTCGCCACCGGCCTCCGCTCCATCCTCCGCCAGGACCCCGACGTCATCAT